AATACTAATAATATAACTTTGTAATTACAAACGAAATTAATATTAACAACTAATTAATACCCAAATATTAACAATAATCCTTAAATAAATATTAACAATTAAATAAACAATAAAAATATATATATAAGTAAACTAAAATTTATAAAAACGAAAAAAATAATTACTAAAATAAATATTATTAATAATACTTAAAAAAGAAAAAGTTTAAGAAAATAATATTCACACAAAAAAAAATTAAAGCCACGTGTCACACTTTTATTAGGTGAAAAATAATATATGTTGGAAAATCCCCTGATGGCAAGCGGACACGTTTTTAAATAACCCGAAATTAAACAAATAATGCAAGAATGAAATAAGAGCAAAAAATGTAAAATATTAAAATTGGGTAGGACAAATTTAGGGTATGACACAAGGCATTAAGCCTACAACCAATTATCCATAACAGAAACATCACATTTCGCATACATTATGTACTCACCACTTCAACCTGTTCATGTCAGAGAACAAGTAACAATATCGTTCCTACAAATAAGAATCCAACAAATTTTTGCATAAAACAATTAAAAATAGCCCCGTCTCTACAATTGAGAACTCAATAGCGTTTTCATGTCAAAGAACAACTGACAACATCATTACTACAACTAAGAACTCAACACATTTTCATATACCTTCATACGGGTAATATAACTACAACTTATCCACATAATCAAAGGAGAATATTATAATAACATTTTTTCAACAGTGACATAACAACTTCATATGCATCAAGTATTCACCATTTCAATCGGTTCATGTAGGGGAACAATAACAACATACTTTCGACAATTAAGAATTCAGCACATTATCGTAAGAACAACATTATAACTTTTACTCACTAAATTAATTATAGTTCCTGAAAAGGTTCGTTAACTACGGGGCAACTAATCTTACCTCATTAAGGGCAACCATACAGCATCGTACAACACTGACGATATAACACATTCATTCCTACACAGAAAAACCTCGTCCCTAACATTTATCGGGTAACGGGAACTATATCTATGATTCGATTCCCTACCTGAAGTCGATCAAGTAAGAGCATAAGAACAACCTTTTCTCAACAAATGGGAAATTAGCGCGTGTCGGCGCTGATTCCCAAATTACTACATAAACTAATGACATAAACACTAATGCAGGCGTAGACAAACATTAACCCTTAATATTTCTCAACCTATGGGAACATTTACCCTTAATGTTGCTCAACCTACGGGAACATTACTACGGGAACATTACTACGGGGACATTACTACGGGAACATTTCCACGGAAATATTACTACGGGAACATTAATCCTTAATATTTCTTCAATTTACGAGAACATTACTACGGTAACTTTACTACGGGAACATCACTGCGGGAACATTAATCCTTAATATTCATCGATCTACAGGAACATTAATCCTTAATATTTATCGATCTACAGGAACATTAATCCTATGATTCAATTCCTTACATGAAATCAATCATACCCACAGTTATAGAATTGAACCCCACCCTTACCTTTGAATTAAGGACAACTCTAAACTTTCGGTTCCGGTTTGCTCTCCCGGTGACTCGTCTGCAACAACCTTCAAATCTCTCCGGCGGTTAATTCTTCTGTTCTTCCTTTCTCCACAGCTACGTCCTTTTTCCTCTTTTCTCAGCCTTTTTCCTCCAATTTGGTTATCTGAGCAGTTTATCGTTCTTTTGCTCTTTCTCCCACAATTTCTCTAATAACTCCCTAATTCTCTTTATTCCATCCACTAGTAATAATAATAATAATAAAAATAATAATAATAATAATAATAATAATAATAATAATAATAATAATAATAATAATAATAATAATAATAATATAATATTACTACTAGTTATTAAATTATCATCACTATTAATTATATTATATTATTATCAAACTCAATGATTTATTAAATGGTTTCCTATACTTTAAGGACACCCACCAACGATCTCAGACACACTCTCACATAAAGGCACCCCAACAATTCATAAATAATTTAATTAAAATGAACGGGCGTTAAAAGGGGTGTACCTCAAATGAAAAAGACATTAAAAATACTTCGTCCTTAACAAAGTCTTTGTGCTTGATGGACTATGTAGTGTTATATTTATGAGTATCCTAAACTATGGCGCCCTCGCCCAAGAGAAGTATTGTCTAAGCTATGTCCGCAGGACTCACCCTTGGCACTAAGAACGTATGTAATGTCGCTAGTCAAAGGAGGGGGAGTCTCCACTACTCCTTAAAGGTTAGGTAGTCAACAACTTCTTCTAATCAGGAGGGAGCGGTTGCCGCTCCTTAGGGTTAACTAAACCCTAAGTATAAAAGACTTCTATAAATACTCCTTCCCCCATAGAGAAAATGACAAATCTTAAGCCAAACATATCACACCCCATATACACTCACACCTAAGCATATCACTTATTAACAGAGTCTCTCACCTCACGAGTTAGATCTCTAAACCATCTTAAAACACTACCACACAGAGTTTCTCGCCACCGTAAACAAGCCTTAACCACCATACAACGTAATATACCCACTAAGGTCTTTTAATCCTACTGCCCTTACAGAAGAAACACGCACACATATACTTTTTGACCAGTACAAGAATCATAACAATGATAATCATTTTGATCATCCTCGTAATCAAGAAAAACACTTGTGATAGGACAAGAAGACAACTTACTATATTCTACCTATAAACAACGAAGAATAAAGATGATTGCATTACAATGAGGCCAAAATAACCTGTTTTAGAACCTGTCTAATGTTCTTATACTTTGGCATGATTAAATCAACATAGAATGCAGTTAATATCATTGCAGCTATATAAACAAACTAATCCCAGAACATTAGTTGATAACATTTATTATTTAATCATATTAAATAGGCTGCATAACCGTAAAAGTTACTCAAACTTACTTCTGAGGAACTATAACATTCTTTCCTGATTCCACATCCATTTTCTTTTTCAAGTATCTCTCCTTACAATCATTGAAATGTATCATGAAAACTACCCATTTAAATGGAATCACCATGCAGAACAAACTAACTTGTATAAAAGTTCCATTTCCTTGTTCATAACCTCTAATATGGTAGCAAGCAAGTCTTAATAATTGTCCCCATGCAAAGAAAATCAGCATAAAAAAAACCCTTTTCTGTCACACCCTCTGCTAAAATTAATAGAGTGCTAATGCATCAATACCATATATACCCTCCAAAGTTGAGATTACAATACTCATACTCCACATAGAACTCCATTCTAAATACTTCATTAACACCTTTGCAAACAACAAGCTGCAAATCACAGGAAAACCCACAAAATTGAAATCCTTCAAGCAAACATGGTAATTTATAACTATCCATAATAATCCAAGTTGATGTGTAGTTATCAAGAAAACAACATGGATGAAAGTTAGAAATGAGCCTCTTAGTTTTGTTGAATCAAGAGGTTTTTTAAACATCTCCTTAAGGGTCATTTTCTTCTCTTGTGAATTTAGCTTTGAAGCTAAGTCTATAGTAACAATTGCAGTTCCAAACTCAAGAATTTGGATAGGAAATATATAAATCAAACCAAGTTGAATCAACTTAAAGTAATTATAATCCTTATTCATACGATCTAACATCCTCTGGAATATTGATAAAAAAAGTTTCGACTAATTCTTGAAGCTGAATTTCAAAGTAAACCATTATACAAAAGAGAGGAAGAGAGGTAAGAAAGGTGAAGATGATAAAGTTGAGATTTCTGAAAGATATCATAACAGCATCCTTGAGTATATCATAACTAGTTTTTTGTTGTGTTTTTCTTTTATTGGAGGGAGAAAGTAATGAGAAGATACTCATGACTTAGTAATATAGTATTGTTATTATATTTAGTGGATGTGGAAAATTGTCGGTGGCGTGTTGCAAACATAGTGTGTGGTTTCCATGTGATTGCCATTTTGACCATTGACAACTTTGTTTATAAGTTTTATTGATAAAAACTCTATCTTGAAGCTGAAAATAAAGCATGACTATTCCACAAATAAAGTTGAATGCCGAGAAAAGTATTTTGGAATGCATGAGGTTAAAAGTTAGAGAATTACAGTCAACAAAGAAAAACAGACCAACAGAAAATGAACTCCTCAAATTTCAACCATCCGGCGTAATGACGAACACCAATAAGCAAGGCAAAACGGCAGACGGAAAACATTTAGTGACACTGATCCCAGTAACTGAAGGTGACAGACACGAAACTGTATGTAGAAGAAGCATGTGAAGCCATGGCCGAAGTGGTGATGCTGGAAATTTAGCATGTTCACGTTTAGTTAAATAGAATCAACCTTTCTGATCCCACACAACCAAGATGTCGGTCATTGCAGTCCCAATAGTGTACCATGGAGACTACGGTCGAAACAAGGATAAACATTCTAATCAATATGCCGAATCGGAACCAGCAGACACTACATGCAACTAGGCACTAGACAAATCCCAGTTTGATTCGATATCATGAAGATGCAGCAAGTCAATATCTATATTTTATCTATCCATCTTTAAACTTCTTCAATTCAAAAGCATATGCAGTTTCCTGATGTTGCAGTTTTAGTCACAACTTATATGCAGAAGCAACAAGATGAGACGATGGTGGAAGCATGCAGCACAGAAGCAGACAACAAGATGTACTTAGTTGCGATACAATGCTGTTTTGGCCGATAACCACACCTCAAAACAGAGAAACATAAACATCGTCATTTTAGGAAGCCTTTGTAATGACAATATATCAAAACCACCATAGTAGGTTAATAAGACGTATATATAAACAATCAACATAACTTAATATAGATATTTAAAATCCAAGTTCCTAGCAATACCCATTATCAAACATAATTACCATGTTTGTTGTATGCTCACCCAATCCTAGAGAAACTACACTAGCAAAGAGGGCTCCACGACAATTATTCATTATTTGCTTCACTCACATTCCGATTTTAATCTCTGAAAAAAAGAATAAAAAAAACATGGATGATAAGTTCTCATGTCATTCAATAACTCACACATCATCAGAATAAACTCAAACTGAGTTGAACATACTCACTCGTACCCATTGGCATAAGGTGAATCACGGCGAGAATAACGGTATGGAGGGGACCTGCTGTAGCTACGGCCACGAGGTGTTATGCTACGTCGTCTCGGGGATCTCCCATGTGGGCTATAACTCCTTATAAAATGAAAAAGAAAAGAAAAAACACAGAATGACATACGAGAAATTGAATATATCAACAAAGGATTATCCAGTAGGAAATGATATTCATATAAAAGCCTGTGAATGTAACAACATACCTGCGGCCATAACCATAACTTGGACTTCCACGACGCCGGTAATAAGGACTAGGACTGCGCCTCCTTCCACTTCCTAGGCCTCGTGAACCAACGCGTGAACGGCACTCCCGAGCAAAGTGTCCAGGTTCACCACATTCATAGCATTTTAGGTCTTCCCCTCCATGCCCATCGTGCCCACCACCACGGCCTCCTCCTCCACTCTTAGAATTATGAGAAAGCTCTACACGCCAGCCATTTTTTCCTGTAGGACATTCCCAAATCTAAATGATGCACAAAAAGTAAAAGGAGAGATGCTAACACCGACAACGGGTAATGACCAATTTTGACAAAACATGAACACAAACTGACCATCCAAAGCATGAATTGCATCAAGGGCATCCCTCCTATCATCAAACTCGATAAATGCATATCCTGGTGGTCTGCGAGCAACCCAGACACTGTATGGAAAAAATTAACATAACTTGCAACCGATGAAAAACTAGAAAATGGATATTTTAACAATTAAAAACGGGGATTATTAATAAAAAAAAAATCTATTTTAAGAATAATTACCTACTTGATCTAAGTAATTAACCGGTAACTCAATCATTAACCATTATTTTAATGTAAAATTGATTGTTATCATTCCTAAACTGAAAATACTTCTATCAATTCAACAAATTTCCCGGAGAGAGAAGAGAAAATTACCTCCGGAGAACACCGTAAAAACGAAATTCATCTTCAAGTTCCCTTTCAGTGATTCGAGGGTTTAAATTCCCAATATAAACCCGAGCCATTCTTCCAAAACCTAAAAACAATTATTTTTAAGACTAAAAAAGTTACCAAAGTGAACAAAAAACGAAAAATTTGCACGAAAAAATCATTTTGAAATAAAATTTTGGGAAAACAAGTAACATAGATAATCGAGAGTTTGAGAAGAATATGGAGGAAATGTTACAATTTCGAATGCGGAGTTGGAAGAGAGTGGCGAAGAAGAGATTAAAAATCACCTGTAACTGAATAATTCTAGATGATTTTGGATGATCGTGGGAGAAATTACGAAGAAATTAAGCCCTTAATTTTATATTTTTATCTTCTGTTCTAACGCTCTCAACGCTGCGTTTTGGGCTTTGGGCCTTAGTAAAAATGGAGATAAAATTGGTAGGTCTCTTAATGACACACCTTCTTTATGCTTATACACATCACAGATTTGTTGGTGTGTTCTAATAACATTTCTCTTAGAACATTATGTTGAAACTCCTAATTTAAAGTCAGAAGACTTTACAAAAATATATATAGTAGTTTTTTTTAAGTGTAAAGTCTAGTTAGGCACTAGGATTCCATGCAACCAAGAACTCTAAATATACAATATCAAGTAAAGGTGAGTTATGAAAAAGAAAGGATTGTAAAATGAGCTTGTGTGTATGTTCTAATTAAGTAGTTCGTTTCGTGTGACTCCACCTAAGCACGGTAAGATTCATCCATAGTCATCTTTATTTTATTTTTTCTATTTTTTTAAGTGTCACTTTTATAAATAAATAAAAAATTTTAATTGTTGTTTTCAAATTTTATAATAATGATTATAGTTTTGCCAAAATTACCTTTAACAATTTATTATGGATAGAAAAATAGAAAAAAAAAAAAAAGTATATCGAAATAATCAAAAGTTAAAGGTATTATAGAAAAAAGAAAAATCATAGCTTAAAAAGTAACAACAATGATTAATTTTTTTGGTATATATAAAAAATTAAAAAATGACAGTTAAAAAGGAACAAATGGAGTATTCCATTTATTTCTTCACCTAAGGACGGTCAGATTCATCCCACTGTCATCTGCATTCTATTATGTTTTATTTTATTTCAGATACCAACAAACTCCCATATAAAGCAGGATTAATGCGTCAATTCTCAGGTACACTATATTTTATTTGAAGTTTCATAATTCTCTCCCTACACTAACTTAAGTGTTGAAATGATAACCTTGCAGGTTAGCTTCATCTACCACATCAAAATCAAAGTTCCATTGTGAGCAACACTCAACTCAGCTTATCTGATCATCATATTGTTCTCATGCAGAACACGGGCGTAACCTATGGAAACCGATATTGAATCCTACGATTACCACGATCTCTTGATCTCAGATCTAGGTCTATTCCAATCGAAGCATATATGTGTGTTACCAAGTTAATATCACTGAATTTGCAGCCAAATCCATCTCACCATAATTGTTAAGTAATGGCATCATCAAAAGCAACTCATTTTGTTGCAAATTAGCTGACCGTTGTAGCCATTGGCATTGCAATAAATCGTCATTTGTCTATTCCTCACTCCACAACCAAACCAAGTGTAGCAAAAAACAATCAAAGGAACTCTTCAGCTACCTAAAGCTCTACAGCTTCATTTAGAAGAACCGTCCATCCGACCAGATGCATCTCCAGTTGCCACAGAGCGAGAAACACTTCTGATTTTCTAGCTTTTAGAGGCTAATTTGGGACTAGATGTGACTGATGAATGGTTAAACGATATGTTCAAGATGTTCCAACAGTAAAACTCATAGGCATTGCAGATAGACTCACTCAGATACAAAAGGGCTTACAGAATGCTACAGCAAAGAACTACACCTTCCAAGAAGCAGCATCGTAGAAAGTCATGGGACCAGCGAAGGATCAAGAAGAGCTTCGTAAATCTTCAGGCCACCAAGAACGCAGGCGGCGCGCACCTTCGTCTTGTCTTGAGAGGAGAAATGACAGCCACACATCTCCAAAAAATCGTGGGTCGGCAAGGAAAGAGGTGAAGTAAGAAGCCACCTCAGCTTCACCTAAGAAATAGAATCCTCTGAGCGCTTACATCTTAGACGACAAGATTCCACGATCCATGGAATCCCCCCCAACTATAATATTACAATAGAAATGAAGACTCTGAAATGCACGTCGATCATGTAGATGGTCGTATAGACTATTACCTTGCAAACAAATATATTAAATGCAAATTATTTGCATTTGCTTTGACATAATTTGCTCAAAACTAATACAAATCATTTATTTATGGGAGCATAGATTTGTGGCTAGAGTCCTACGAAACTTTTAGTGCTCGGAAAAGACAACCAGTCAGTATCGTCTCCCTTAGTGGAGTGACTTGAGACAAGAAAGAAACTTTACGCGTATATGTTGACCGATTTATCAAGGTAACAGTAGTCGCCGGTGTAACATCCCAATTTTTTAAAATTATTTTATTTTATTGAGTTTTATGTGTTGATGTGATTTATTTGAATGTTATATGTGTTTTTGCGGGGTTATTTAAAATGGGATGAAATTTATATTATTTATCACAATTTTGATTCATTAAAATAATAGAAAATTGAATAGAATAATGATATATTGAGTTATGGAGAAAATAGTATTTTCATGAAATCTGTGGGTGTTGCACCCCAAAAGTTGCCCTCTTGTTGTTAATCTTAATTGGCTTGTGTTTTGCATCCATATGCATTTAATCATGCATTACGTTGGGCTTCTAGGACATAGGATCACAACTTGTTTCTTGCAGTCAGGATTTTTTTATTTCAGATAGTGTTTTAGTAGCATTCAGAGCTAAGTAGACAGTCATCAAAGGCATCAAGCATTTATTTTGCTCACCAGATGGTTTAATTATTTCTTAATCAAAAGCAGAAAGCACAGAGTTCACATGATTTGGTTTCATAAAGGTTATCTATCATGTTTCAGACATTATTCAAGGTCATTATCAGTGGCTAAGGTTCAAATACGAAACAGGACTCAAAACAAGTGGCAACAAGGTAATTTTTGCATATTTGCCTTGGTGCAATCGATTTGCACTTTGTTGCAATCGATTGCACCCCTTCAGGACGTGTCATTATGTAGGTTTTGTAGGTGCAAATTGTAACACCCTTCTCTATCCCAAAAATATAATGGCAAATCATTCACATTTATCAGAGTAATATTTCAAACATAATAAAAATTACCCCAAAGGGCGTACATTTCTCAATAATTCAAATCAAAGTCAATGCTCCGTAAACAGTGGGTTTTTCCAAAATTACTCAAAAATTGCTCAAATCACTATGCCAAAAAAGACCTTTAGCAGCGCTTAAAAGCGCTGCCAAAAGTGGCGATGCTAAAGGTAAAGGCAACGCTTTTTTTATGGAAAAAGTGCTGCTAAAGGCTCCCTTCAGCAGCACTTTTAGCAGCGCTTTTTTAGCCCTTTAGCAGCGCTTTTATAAGCGCTGCCTATTCCCCCTACCCTCCCCCTCTTTAGCAGCGTTTTTAGAAAGCGCTTTCTTAGACCCCCCCTTTAGCAGCGCTTTTTTAAAGCGCTTTCTTAGACCCCCCCCCCCCCCCCCCCCTTTAGCAGCGCTTTTATAAAGCGCTGTCTTAGACCCCCCCCCCTTTCCCCACCTATAGCAGCGCTTTTGTAGCGCTCTATTTGTCCCCTTTAGCAGCGCTTTTTTTTTTTGTAAAAACGCTATCTAATCTTCACAATTTTAAATTTTTTTTTTAAATAATCACACTTTTTATATATTTTTCGACAAACCTGCTTATATTACATTCCCTGCTTATAATTCATGCCTTTATTTCAACACTTTGCCCTTTAAGTATACATTGTAATTCATCACTTTGCCCATAATCATTTTAATACACACAAACCTGCTTAAATATATTACAACAGAATCCGATCCTCAGAATTACAACATCACAAATACAGTCAATTTACATATAATTACAAATCCATTAACTTTACAAATAGATACGACTTCCAGAAATATTATTATCCCGCATCAATATTGGATGATACATATACCTTATACAATTCTCAACTCAAGAATAAATTGACACCATTCCTCCTTTATTTCTTCCAATCCCGCTTTCGAGTAAGTACCGCACTTGAATTCATCAAAGTACTACATAATATAATAGAACATACACGATTTAGTTTTAAAACTAATTACTCAGATGAAACATCGGTTAATTATCAAAATGAATCATATAATTTATGAATTGATCCATACCATGATTGGAATCTCTATTTGACCAAAATGAATAATTTCCTTCATAAAGCACAATACAAAATATCTGCAATCAATCCCATTGCACTGACGAGGACACTGTAAATGGAAAAAAAATAAACATTTATCAGGATATATAGTTTACATAATTTTATCAAGTAGGACCACTATAACAGTCAAAAATGGGAAAATATACCTGCACTCTGATCCAGCTAATGTTGTTAGCCTTGCTTTTTGGCACTGTTGCTTGTCTTTGTGCTCTGAATATTTGTATATCTCTAATATAATATAAACGCATATTTATAACAATGTCGCATAATAAATAAAGATATATAATTATTCAGAACAATATATCTCATCACTTACGTATCAATCATATTCTTCATATCAGGATATTTTGTTTGATCGCCATCCAATGAATCCAGATAATACACTATTTCTTTCATCGGATTAATCGCGACCAACAACCAGTGTCCACTATAAAATAAGACAACAGTTTAGACGGAAATGTTATATAGAATGGCAAAAATCGAATAATTATAATAAATGAATTTAGAATGAAGTCATACCCATGGCCAGTATTATATGGCAACAAGAATAACTTCTCTGTAGTCGCGGCCATAAATCTTTGGACTATGTAATCTCTGACTACATCTGGTGTATGATCTATTGCCCTTGAGTTGATACAGCTAGCAGATAAGAATGTGAATATGGAAGTCAAATCATACGGGACCAACAACTTGTCATACAAGAGCCTAAAAGAAAAACATAATCAACATTAGAA